GGGGGGGGGTTCATATACCTGCTCCCTCCTCCTGGTGACAAGAGGCCATGCCTGTGAGAGGGCTTCAGAAAGGGCTATGAGGGCCTCCCTCATGACACAGAGGTTAAGTCTCAGTGCTATAACATCTGTAGCCTGAGTTCGATCCCCCGCCAGGTAAGTAACCCACATACCACAGCAGACCTCTCCTGTCTCCCCCACTGCTCCCTTCAGCAGTGTATTTCAGTAGATCCACCTGTTCTGCTCCCCACTCTCTCTGTGGGGATGAGAGGTGAAGCCTCTCATCCAGTCCCCTCAGACGTTGAATTATACCCCAGTTCTACTATGCATTAATAAATAAATTGATATTAAAAAAGAAGAGAAAGGGCTGTGGTCACACTTTCCTCCGCCTTGTAGTTCATTGCAGAAACAAAGACTGAGAGCAGTGTTGTGTGGGATAGAACTTTGCCTCAAAAATACATGTCTTTAAGTTGTGCTTGGTTGTGTGTGATGCTCTAGTTCCCTCCACAGTCCACTGCTCACAGCTGCTGGGGTGGGTGGAGACGCCAAGACCCTCGGTGGTTCTGGAGGGGTCCCCGTGACCCCTCCTGCATTGTGAATAAGCTCTCTCTCCTAACCCAACCCAACCAGGCCATCAGCACCCCAAGCCTGAGTTCCCTTTTCATAGTCACGTGGCCAATTATGGCCAGTTAGTTGCTTTCAGACTAGGAAAAAAAAGAATACAAAAAAAAAAATTTTTTTTTTTTAATCTGGGGAGAAATGAGTCCATTTTGTCGGGAAGTTGTTGTAACTATAATAGGGAACTGTTTATGAATGCTTGATTACTTTCTGAGATTGGTGGCCAACAAGTAGGGGTGCTGAGAGACAGAGAGCTGCACAGGTTCTCAACACCAGGCACTAAGAATTTACACATCAGGCAAGGTGCAGGAAGACAGATGGTGCCCACGAGGCCATGCCTACGTGTCATTCTCCTCAAATTAGGCTCCTGCACATCTTTGACCTCAGGTTGTAGAGACAATAAACAAGAGCTGAACAAGTTTTCTGGATTCGTGTCCAACACCCTCACACATCTGTCTTTGTGCCTTAATTGACTTTTTCTTGTTAAACCTGGCATGGAGGATTGGAAATTGTCAAGGGGAATGGTGCCATCAGCTCAATAGAAATCTGGGCAATGCAAATTAGAATGGCAATACTATTACACAGGCTTCAGAATGGCAAAAATCAAAAAGACTGACGAGAATAGCGAATGTTGCTGCAATGCACAACTCGTTCTCGAACACTGCGGGTGGAGGGTGTATGTACGCCAGCACTTCAGAAAACGACATGGGATCGCTACTGAGACTGAACCTATTCATCCTTTGGGGGCCAACAACGTGCTTCTCAATTTACAAAATCCATGCATTCTGAGCCCACTGAGATATTTATAGCAGCCTTTTTCGTGATTACCAAAAACTATGAACAGCCTAAATGTTGTCAGGCCATGGAGCGAAGAAACCTCTGTGGGGTTCAAAGGATGGGACATTGCAGGATGGGTGCCCAGAACCATACAATGAACCAGTGGCCATAGAGTGTGCTAGGAGCATGAAACATATTCCACATACACAAATGCCACAAATAGGCCAGCAGGCAGTTTCACCGAGAGCTGTGCGCCCTGGCCCGGGAGGTGGAACTTAAAAGGAAAGACAGAATCAGAGCGAGGCCGAGATGGACACAGCTCCAGGAAGTGGCGTCCCCAAGGGGAGACAGGTGAGTGCGGAAGACGTGTCTGCTTCACAGCTCCGGCTGTGGCTCTGGATGACTCATCAGCTGCCCATGGAGAGCCATGGGCCCCTTCGTGTGCTTCACGCATCTCAGCACAACGAGCATAAAAAGACAGCTGGAGGAAAGCTGAACCAGGGAGTTCCTGCTTCTGAACACACGACTTCTGAAAGCATGTGGGTCCTTGAGGAGAAACTCTTCCCCGGGGCTCCAGCCAGGTGCCAGGCCTGGGATGCTGCAGTAACAGCTGCCAGTGAGCACACTGTAGAGACCCACAGGCACAGGGATGAGGCCTTGGACGTGCTGCCTGAGCGGCCCCAGAGGCAGCTGGCAGGAAGCGAGGGCAGAAAAGGGAAACCCACAGGCCCTGCATCTGTACGTGGCAAAGACCAGAGGCCTGGTAACACCAACGGCCGGCAACTGTGGGGTATCCGCTGGCTACAGATCCTGGGCTGTGCTGTTTCTATTGAACACATGGGAAGCCTCCGTTTGGCCCCTCCAGTTACCAGAAAGCCCCCAGCATGCACAGTTTATTACTCAGACGCTCCCGGAGGGCGGGGCAAAGAATCCTCTGTCTTCTGGCTCCTGCAGGTTTACCGCCTTCCACCCTTGGGGTTAACTGGTCACAGGCGAGTTTCCAGAAGCCCTAGATTTTTCCCAGAGAGTTTCTTGAACAAAGCAAGCTCCCAACACACTGCTGTTTTGCTATTACGAGTGAGATTTCAGTGACTTGAACTGGAGCTGGGCAGAGAAGGTGGTCTAACTGATTCTTTATGGCCAGTGGCGAGGCGACTGGCAGAGGCCAGGGGGCAGAGGGCCATCTCCCCTCCTGGGGTAGGAGGTTTTGCACCTCACAAATGCCAGTGTTCTTTTTTCACAAATGAGGTGGGTGGGAAGAGTGTTGGTTCTGCCAGGCACAGCCTCAGGGTGGGCAACTGAGTCCCTTCCCCACCCGCCTCTGACTTCTGGAACAGAGATAGTGTGCTGTGGTGATATCTAGATAAGGGGAAGTGAGGGCCCCAGAAGTGCTAGGAACCTCTCGGCAGCCCTTCCCCTGTGACGGTGCATGTGTCTGCTGCAAGACAGACAGAACACCCCTCCTGCCACTTCCATGCATGTTTTTCCATGACAAAGCAGAACATGGATGCCTGGGGGGAGGAGGGCAGCAGGGAGGCTGCCTTGATGGTTGGCTGCACATGGCTACGTTCACTGAGACTAGTGAGTCCCATGAATAGACAGGGAGGGACTCCCTCGGCCGGCCTGCTGCATCCTGGCCATACAGTGGTCACACACTGACACCTGGACCCTGCTAGTCCTCACTCAGAAGCATTTGCAAAGTGGTTGAGTGGCTTCAGCAGAGGCAGCACAGGGGCCCAGGAAGGAGAGGAGTTGGGGCCACTACATGTAGGGCTGAAGCCCCCATTCAGGAGAGCTCACAATCCCAGAGACCCATGAGCAATAAACACAATTTCTGGGTGTTTCTGCCTTGTACCATAAATGCAGGCACACGTGCCTTCCATGCAATGAAAATTAACCAGTAGAGAACACAGGCCCCAATCCAGAGCCAAGCCATGCTGTTCCTTCTCACACCGGCCTTTCCAAAATGTTATCACAAGTTCCCCCTCTCTCTTCCTCGGCTCCAACTCATGAAAATGGAACTAGGTCATGCTTTGCTTCTTCCAGGTTTATGGACACCTTAATCAGACAGCAAGCTGATACCGATATTACAGCTCCTTTTGAACTTTTCACTCTGACAGGTCATGGCTCTGTGCTGACCTTTGGCAAAGAACCACATGTCAAAACAAATGGTGTGCTTCATCAATGATAGCAGCATTGAGGTTCCAACAGACCCTCGCTTTTCATGTGGTGTGGGAGCTCCTACAGCCAAACACGGTCACATTCATTAGTGAACCAAGACAAACCTGTAATTCGCTTTTGAAATCTAAATATATAACAAAAAGTGAGTTGAAATTTGAAAAGGGAAGAGTGCATGGCAAATAAGAGCTAAAATGCATGAGTCTGACCAAATGCCAATAGCAGTGGATGGAGCACCATCCCAGGCCAGCACAGGGATGGCACCTGAACCAAGACTCTCATTCTAAAGAAAAGGCTGGGAAGTAGGAAACCTCTCCAAACCCAGAGGACAGCATTCCCGATGTAGGAAACTCGGGACCCCCACAGAGAAGATCAGTCAACTATGAGCTCAATGGTGTTGCTCAAAACACAAGGAAACACGAGCTATGAGATTCTCCACTACAGAGAGGGCACACAGACTAGGAAATGTTCAAGGAGCAAAAGGTGGAGGCATAAAAACCAGCAAGCAATTAGAGCCTCAAAATTTGCTAGAATATTCAAAACAACAACAAGAACGCTAGACATTTAAAAAAATGTAATCAGTGAAAATGAAAATCAATGGATGAATTTAACAGCAGATAAGAAACAGATGAACTAAAAGTCACTGAACTGGAAGACAAATACACAGACATAATTTATTATAGTGCAGGACAGAAAAAGGGAATAGAAAATAAGGAGCATTGTAAAGGTGAACTTCAAAGGTCTAAAAAATGTTTAATAGGAGCTGTGAAGGAAGAAGAGCAGCCATATTTGAAGAAAAAAAACTGGCGGAGTACCTTCCAGAATGAAAGAGCTGCAGGAGGCACGGTTACGCTTCATTTTCTATACATCACCATGTTCTCTTCTATAACTACTCAGGTAGTTAGGCATGAGTTTCCTCATTTTATCATCAAGCAAACCGAGCTGCAGACAGATAGATTAAGTTGCCTGATCAACTTAACTGGGCTGGTCTGGTTCCCTCTCTTCAACTTCTTCACTTAAGTTTCTCTAAGTAGAACTCATTTTAAGGTGAATTCCATTTCAACCAATGAATTAATACACTCTTTGTAGTGCATTCCCAATATGGTTACAGACCCTCTGGGAAATTACGACACTCTAAAATTGTCACTGCTCTTAATCCAGCTTAGATAGGTAGCAGACCAAGTGTGGTTTCCAGACCAGCAGCCCCAGCATGCTCTGGGAACTGGTT